CAGGGTCACAGGTCACAGCTTTCCATCTCCTCCAGGGGCCCAGCTCCGCCCCGCCCCTGTGCCCGGTGGCCTGTCCTTGCTCCCCCGGCCCCTCTCCACCGGCCTCTTTCTCCTGCTAGAACGCTCTCGTGCTGGATCTGAAGCTGGACTGACGGCTCAGGACGTCCCGCCAGCTGCGGCCCCCGCCTGCCCCCGTGGAGGAGCCCGCTGATTGGAGCCGGCGGCCACTACCACCGGAGGCTGCTTTTGGGTGGAGGAGTGACCGGGAGAGGCCGGGGCCTGGCAATAAACAGGAGAAAGACCTTCAGACGCGACACTCTGGTCTCTTTTCTAATAGCAAGTCCCCGTGTGGCTCCCCTTGGTGGGTGCTGGGGTCTGGGATCAGCCTGGGGTCTACAGGACAGTGACCGTGGTCTGGAGGACAGTGACCACAGCCTGGGGGGGCGGCTTGAGCACCCACTGAAGCCTGGCTCCGGGCTTTTCTTGTCTCCATAACCACGTGGGGGAGGGCCAGCGCCGTGTTCCCCACTTCACGGATGAGGATGTTGACGCTCGGAGTTCAAGGTCACTCCAGCAAGTGGTCAAGCTCTTCCCAGCTCAGCTTTGTGTCCCCAAATCTTGGCAACTTGAGGATGGCTGTACTCATGAGGGGCCTGTGCTCCAGCAGCTGTTCCATGTCCTCGTAGTAACAGAGGCAGGCGAGGACTGTCCCCATGTCACAGATGAGGAGACTGAGGCTCAGAGAGGTGGGAAGGCTGGCACCAGGCCCTGGGTAGCCAGGGTGCAGAGCGGGGGCTGGGTTCCAGCTCAGGTTTGAACCTTGGCTCTGGTCCTGGCCCCGTGTGCCTGAGCAGAGCCCCGCCTCCCCTCAGCTTCTCCAGCTGTGAAGAGGGTGACATCGCACAAGCCCCAGCAGGAGTTGAGGGACGGGCGAGAGGAATCCCCCAGAGCACATGGGCCGGTTCATTAGTAACTGGAGCTGGAGCCCAGGCCTTGGGACAAGCAATGCTCCACCCCTAAGCTCCGCCCCTAAGCCCCGCCCCAGCCCTGTTATTCTCAATGGAGTCTTTTAAAGGTGGGTGTCTGGGGCTGGGCTGGGGCTCAGTGGTAATGCCCTGGCCCAGCATGTTGGGGCCCTGGGTTCGAGCCTCAGCACCACATAAATGTAAAATAAAGAGACTGTGTCCACCTAAAACTTAAAAGTGAATGATTTTTAAAAATCTGTAACATTGAAACAAAAGTGCACCTGGGTGAGCAGCGGATGGACCCCTGGGAATTGCCAGGTGGGGCTGTGTGTCCGTGTGTCTGTGTGTCCATGTGTCTGTGTCCACCCGTGGGTGTGTGAACCTGTCAGGATTTCTGGGTGTCCGTGGGGTGGGCTCTGGCAGGGGTCTGGGTGCCTCTGTGCCTGGGGAGTCCATGTCTGGTCAGGAGGCCATTGCTCTGCAAGCTCCTGAGGCCCTGCAGGTGGACTCTGTCCCAGGTTGGCCCCAATCCCTGCCAGGCCGCCCCCTGTCCCTCAGCATCAGCCCTAATCTCATCGCCCATCGTCTCCAGTTCTGGGACAATGGC